CAAGCTGGCTGGGGCCCCCAGCACAGAGTGGGACACCCCGTGGTGGAGCCCTGCTGCTGCTAAGAAACAGCCCCCAGCCCCTGCGACGAGCAGCCTCGGGGGGCAGTGGCAGTGACAATGTGGGCCCACCTGCTGCTGCAGTGCCTGGGCCTCTGAGCCGCAGCACCAGTGTCGCTTCCCACATCCTCAATGGTTCCTCCCACTTCTATTCCTGAAGTACAAGGTGGATAAGCCGATGAATGAGGCAGGGGTGGGTGGAGCCTGATCCTGGAGGGCTGTAAGCCTGAGGTCCATCCAAGGGTGAGGGACAGGAAGTTGGCTCCAGCTCCCCTCAGACCTTATCTCATGAGCTTCTTGGGCTGGCCAGTGGCCCAAGGCCAGCTTGGGCATAGGTGCCTCAAGGCTGACCAGGAGCCCCTGCCTCCCCACCATGGTGCCAGGGTTTCTCTCCATCACGGCCTCGGGAAAGGAGGGAGATATGCGTGTCAAATATTCATCTAGTCCCCTGGGGGAGGGGAAGGGTGGGTCTAGATATATTATATAAAGCGAACTATACTACGCCCTGGAATGGGGCCATGGACTTGGGGACGCCAGGCCCCCCAGACCTGGGATGTGACAGAGCAGGTCTGGGGCCTGGGGTGGGGAGAACGGGAGGAAAAGTTCTTCCTGAAAGAAAGATCAGGATGGGGTCTTGGGGGTCAGGATGCCTGGGTCTCTCCATTCCCCTGTTGCTGTCTGACGTCCTGTGCCGTCTTGTCCTTTATCCTTTTTTTTTTTTTTTTTTAAATTGAGATTTGAGCTGGGGCAGGGGAACAAAATAAGAACCTTAGAAGGGGCTGCTCCCAGGCCTGGGGGCAGTCATGAGAGCCCCTCCCAGCTACGGGGCTGGCACAGAGCCCCATGGCAAGCTTTTAATAAACTGTTGGTTATTCTAACAGATCCCAGGACTCACCTTTTCTGTCTAAGGTGTATGTTAAGGAATGTTCAGTGGCAGGTGATAGTGTTACTTGTATTTAAAGAGAACTCCCTGGGCTGTGTAACTAAAAATTTCAGTGACTTTACTGACTTTGGACATGACTGAATCCAGAGCTTCAAAGGAAGTCATCAGTCGCTGGACCTCTGCTTCCCTTTGCTTTGGCTCCAGATTTTCAGGAAGGTTCACCTTACGCACAGGCCCCTGGCAGCTCAAGCCTTACAACCTGCCAACAACCTCAACAGCAAGAATTCCAGCAGTCCTGAAGTGACTTCATTGGTTTGATCTGTAGCCAGAGGCCTGGGGTGCTCTGATTGGTCAGGTTTAGACCCTGTACCCACCGCTTGAAGGCTGAAAGAGTCGGCCCGTGGACTAAGTGGCTGTTTCCAGAAAGGGGAAGAAAGACATAAACAACAGCTGTTCCCAAGACCTTTCATTTTGTGCTTCACATTCTTCTTAAGGCCAGTTATTCAGATCTTCCTCCCAACTAAGCTTTAGGTTATCAGACAACTAAAAGCAGGGTGGTCAGGGACTTCCCTGGCGGTCCTGTGATCAAGACTCCCTGCTTCCACTGCAGGGGGCATGGGTTTGATCCCTGTTTGGGGAACTAAGATCCCACATGCCACACAGCGTGGCCTAAGTAGTCAGAGGGGCCCACTGGTCAGGCTGGAGAAAGCAGCCACACTCTTTTTGAATCAAGCCTGGTGGCAGACTGGATGGCAGGGTCAGGAGGCTGGGATTTTCTTTGGAGAATCTGGGGGAAATTAAAGGGAACCAGATCAGGGGGACAGTGGCTACTCCTCAGCTTCCTGGACCAAAGTACAGGGGGTGAGAGTGGGGGACCAGTTTTGATGAGGTGATTCAAACACTCCTTTATTGAGTCTTTAAAAATAAATCCCTGTAAACACTTTAAACTGGGAATGTGAAGCTGAGAAGTAGAATCCCAATAACTTGTGTCCCTGGGAGCTGTGAGTCTTCTCCGAAGAAAGCTGCTTCTGCTCTGCAGGCAGAGTTGGGGGTGGGTATGCTATACGTGCTTTCTACAAGTGGAAAGTCCCTCCTGGGGACAGGGGGAGCTCAGTTGCTCTCGCCATCACTGCTGATGATGCCACGCATATGTGACCAGTCTGGGGGTGGGGGGTGGGGCCGCTCTTCCTCTGAGTCCAGGGTCCTGCAGTATAGCTCCCCTGGTGGGGCTGCTGCTCCTGCAGGGTTCCAGGCTGTGCGTCTGCGTGGCCGGCCTAGAGGGGATGAGAAAGCAGGAGATGAGTTGTCTGAGAAAGTCCATGCCCCATCTGCTCCTGGACAGTGGAAGGAAGCCCCTCACCTGAACCACTGATGATGTTGGTAATGTCCAAGGAGGCTACCTCAGCTGCCTCTTCCCGCTGCTCCTTCAGGGCCCGACACTTCTCTAAGGAAGGGTTACCTGGGGCAGAAGAAGCTCGTGATCCTCTCCTCCCCAGCAGCCAAGGCCTTCTCCTGCAGCCCCCAGGGCACGCCCAGCCTCACCCTTCATGCCCAGGGCTTCCAGTTCTGCCCGGAGAACACTCAGGCGTTCCTTGTGTGAACGGCAGGAGCCCAGCAGCTTCTTGTAGTTTCGATGAGCCCCACAGGCCCGAATGTAGCGCTTTAGCCTCATCACAGATGGGTGGTCCTCACCACGGCGACCAGAGCCAGCCTGGCAAGGGAAGATAGCAGCTGAAGGCCAAGCCTTTGGGGCTTGAGTCAGGGTCTCCCTCTTCCTTGATGGTAGCCTCCCACCCCATCTTCAGCCCTCACCTTCCTGCCTTTATGTTCTGGACTGCCATCTGTGGAAGAGGAGGAGGAGCTTCGTGTCCTGCCTTTCTTGGAGCTCTTCTTGGAAGAGCGGTTCTTCCTCTCCTTGGGGGTCCCCTCTGCCTCGCTGTCACTCACCTCCTTCTCCGAGTCACTTACCTCACCATTGATACTGCCCACGTTGGCTCTCTTTCCAGTAGTTGGCGTCATCTTCCTCCAGCTGTCTTCCCCATCCTCCTCACTGCTTCCACTCTGCCTTTTCCTACCCTTCCACTGGGTCTTGTCTTTGCTCTTCCTCTGCACTAGGGGCTCTTCATCTTCCCCACTGCTATTCCCACTGCCTGCTGCTGATCTTTCCTTCTGTTCCTCTCTGTCCCCCGGGGATCCCAGCAGTCTTGCTGCCCTGCTTTTCTGCTTACAGCTCCTCTCCTCCAAAGAGGAGGACCTTTGACCTCCACTGCTCTGGGCTGTGAGTTTCCAATCCTCTTCTAACTCTCTGTTCTCTTTCTTCCTGGCTAGGGTCTCCTCCTCCTCACTCTCCTTTTCATTTTCCTGGTGGCTTTTAGCTCCTTTCTTTCCCTTTGCCTTCTTTCCTGGCCCCTGGGCACGTTCCTCACTGTCTTCACTCTCCTCCCTGGCCTGTTTCCTATTGGCTGAGGCCTTGCCTGGTGCCTGCTTGTTCTTTGTCCCAGGCTGCTTCCTAGTCCTGCCCTTGGACTCCTTTTCCTCCTCCTCCTTCTCTTCCTTTTTCTCATCTTCCTCTTCCTCACTGCTCTCTTCTTTCCAGACCTTACTCTTTCTGGCAGAGCCCTCTTCCTCCTCCTCACTGCTCCCCTTCACCTCCTCCTTCTCTAATCCCATCTTTGCAGTCAGGTCCCTCTGCTGTTCCTCCTCGTCACTGCTCTCAATTGCTTTCTTTGAGGCTCGCTTTGGATTCTCATCCTCGGCTGGACTGACTTCTGCTGCCATCCCATTCTTTGCTGGGAGGCCGAAGCAGTCTGGACTGGAGGCTGCAGAGCTGGGCTCTGGAATGTGGAGAGAAGAGGAGGTTGGGACAGGTTCCTCCTGTCCCTTCTCCCTCCACTTGGGATTGGTTGCCTTGAATCCTGCTCTGATGGAGGGAAGGGCAGTAGGAAACAGCTCTCAGTCCACCCTGTTCCTGGCTCCTGACTCACGGGCCACGCGCCCTCACCTAAGGCCTTGGAACATAACACACGCACAATAAATACCTTTAGCATGAACCAACTATGCACAAGGCACTAACCTGACTCCGAATTGAAACGGAACCTTTTTCTCGCTGGGTCACGGCAGGGGATGGGAGACCTCTTGGCCTTCTTGGCAACGTCGAGCCTCTTTTCCCTGCCACCCGCTTCATCCACCTGTGTGTGCGTCAAGAGAGCATCACGTGTATCAAGGTTGTGTTCTGCCCCACCGCTCTCAGGCCCCTCCTCCACGGCCACAACCCCCGCCTGCGGTGGCCCAGGCTCGGGCCCACACCTGCATCTTCAGCAGCTCCTCCTCCACTAGCCGCTTCAGCGCCTGCTTCTCCTCGGGCTCCAGGTGGTCGCGGCCCGCGTGAGCCAAGAACCTCCGCCGCACGATGGAGTGCGTAAGCGTGCTGCGGAAACACGTGTCACGACGGAGTCCCTGTCCCGCCCCTACCCTTTACAACCCCGCCTCCAACCTCCGGTGCACCTGAGGTCCGGGCGGCCTTGGAAGAACCTACGGGTGAACTCCTGCATCTCATTCTCCCGAGCCATTTTGCTCCACCTGATATCGGCGGCTCCCGCCGTTTTTCTTCTCGGCCCCCGTCCGCGCGTTTGACAGGAGCTTGCGCACGCGCAGTATCGTGGCGCCGTGAGGTGGAGGACCGTTGAGTATCCGTCACGGGCCGCTTGGACCCAGAACTTTGCGAGACAAAACTTGCCTTCCGCGGGCAGTTGGAGAGTCTCGCGGTTCCTTGCTTTTCTTAGAACGAATCTCTTCTGAAGGAGAATTCTCGTTAGAAACCGATTGGGAGCCGGCTACACCTTTGGATGTAACAATCAACCCGCGACGCTGCCTCTGTTCGTGGTCACGGGCAGCAACTAGGCATCTGTGATTTTGAAAGACAGAAGGAAAAGGGCGTCCTCGCCAGGAGACTAGGAATCCGAGGAGGAATGCCTTCTCGTGGCTTCAAATCGCTAAGCACATTTCGAATCAGTAAGGGTGCCCTCCAGCGTCCGCCATCTTTGTGACATCATCGCGTCGCCGCGGCGCCATTTTTAGCGTATCCCCTGGAAGCAACGTTCCTTTCCCGGTATTCCCCAGGAGGGCAGCCGGTGTGGTTACGATTCCTGGGCGCGGGGCACGGCGGGAGTTGTAGTCCCAGCGGATACAGCCCTGCCGACTCTCCGGAAGTGGAGGTGGGAGAGGCTGGGCTGAGCCGGCTCGGGGTAGCCCGGCTCCCGGCCAGTGCTGGGGCGCTTCTCCCGGGGCGGGTCATGAACGGGCCGGCGGACGGCGAAGTGGACTACAAGAAGAAATACCGGAACCTGAAGCGGAAGCTCAAATTCCTCATCTACGTGAGTGCTGGGGTGGTGAGGCGGTAGGGGGTGAGGCCTGGTGCTCGTAAGACTTAAGTTTACCTGTGTGTGAAGAGAGTAGGGTGAGCTGTGGCCGGCGTCCGGGCTCCATTTACGGACGGCCGTTGGCTCAGCTCCCACCTTGCCGGTAATACAGGAACACGAGTGCTTCCAGGAGGAACTGAGGAAGGCGCAGAGGAAATTGCTGAAGGTGTCCCGGGACAAGAGGTGAGACACGTTGAGGGGAGGAGGGAGGCCAGCGGGTGATGTGGCTCCTATGGATCTGCATTCGGATCCCATCCTGGAATGGGCCACAAATGCATGATAACTGCCTCGGGGCTGTTGTGAGGCTCCAACAGGCCAGCTGGAAGGGACGAGGGCCCAGGAGAACATTGCAGAGATGGGAGTAAACACTCTTGTTCTCTCCGCCCGTTCCCTCAGTTTCCTCCTAGACCGACTTCTGCAGTACGAGAACGTGGATGAAGACTCTTCTGGTGAGCAAGGTCATGAAAAATTGGTGGAGGACATGCTCCTGACACTCCAGCAAGCTTCCTGGGCCCTCCCTTTAGGCCGCGGAGGCCAATACAGCCTCCAATGGTTCTTAAGCCTAGTCACTTGTCGTCCTCCTCACTATTCTTTCTCTCAAGTATAACTGAGTATCTGCTGTATTTCAGGCAGTGGGCTTTGCACAGAGGATACAGTGGTAACCAAGATGGGTAAAGCCTCTTGGAATTTGTATTCTCGTTGGGGGTAGTAAGTAAGCAAAGAAATAAACTAGAATTTTAGATTTGAGGAAGAAAATCAGGGTTACGTGGTAGGGATTGGAGTAGAACGGGGGTTGATAAACTTTCTCTGTAAAGGGCCAAGTAATAAGTATTTTAGGCTTTGCAGAACGTACAATTTCTGTTGCGCCTATACAGCTCTGCCTTTGTAGTGCAGAAACAGCAATAGGTGAGTTGTGAATAAGTGAGTATGGCTGTGTTTCAATAAAACTTTATTTATGAATACTGAAATTTGAATATCATAAAACTTCCACGTCATGAAATATTTTTCTTTGGAGTTTCTTTTCCCCCAACGATTTTAAAATGTAAAAGCCGTTCTTAGTTACAGACCATACAAAAGTAGATGGCAGGCAACATCTTAATAAAGAATTCAAGAAAGGCTTTTTTCAGGAAGTAATGTTGGAGCTGGGACCTAGATAAGAAGAAGATGTGAAGATGAGTGAGAGATTTCCCACAGAGGGAGTCACAGATGCAGATTCCCTGAGGTAAAAACGTACCAGGTTTTTTGAGGAGAAGGGATGAAGCACATAAAGCACTGTTCTCAAACTTTTTTTGAGCACCATTTACAACCAATAATAGATTTTACATCGTGACCAACCCCCACGTACTTACTTGCTTATAAAACAAAATTTAGTGAAATAATGTTGAGAGCCCTATATGCAGTTTGTTCTGATACTTTTTAGACTGCTTTTTTTTTTTCCATTTAGTGCTCGTTGTAAATCAATAAGTTGAATTTGTGACCCACTATTGGGTTGATACCTACAATTTGAAAAAGTCCTAAGATGGGCCTTTGTGGCCCAGTTTTTCTCATAAGCCATGTCACCTGCAATCACCTCTCTCCATGGTGTCTAGAGCAAGGGTCAGCAAACAGCTAGCCAGATTGCTTGTTTTTGTTTTATTTACTTATTTATTTTTGGCTGCGTTGGGTGTTCGTTGCTGCGCGCAGGTTTTCTCTAGTTGCGGCGAGCGGGGGCTGCTCTTCGTTGCGGTGCGCAGGCTTATTGCGGTGGCTTCTCTTGTTGCGGAGCACGGGCTCTAGGCGCGCGGGCTTCAGTAGTCGCAGCTCACGGGCTCTAGAGCGCGGGCTCAGTAGTTGTGGCACACGGGCTTAGATGCTCCACGGCATGTGGGTTCTTCCTGGACCTGGGATCGAACCCATGCCCGCTGCATTGGCCAGCGGATTCTTAACCACTGCCCCACCAGAAAAGTCCCCAGATTGCTTGTTTTTGTAAATAATGTTTTATTAGAACATTGAACACTTATTCATTTACACATTATAGGAAGACAGTGGATGAGGTCAAAGAAGTAGGTAGGAGCCAACTCATGTAGATCATGGCAAAATATTTGGCTTTCATTCTAGCTTCTCATTGCCTTCGTGTTCCTTCCTGGAGGTCTTTCAGTTAACTTGGTTTTGGAGGGGGACTTCAGGATAGGAGGCGTGAGGGAACCCAGCCTGTTTATGATCAGAGTGGGATATAGCTGAGAAACAAGAGCCAGAGACATAAGCCACCACTTATCTCCTGGAGAAGCCCACAGTGTGGTGAGGGAGACACCCATATATGACAGTGTCCTAGCAGAGTGAGGAGAGCCGTGACCAGTGAGAGTAAAGGGTTCTGGAAGAGTCAGCCATCAACTGGGCCTGAGGGATTCTGGGAGACTTTTCAGAGAGGTGGCATTTAATCTACTTCTTTCTTTCTTTTTTTTTTTTTTTTTTTTTTTTTTTGCGGTACGCAGGCCTCTCACCGCTGTGGCCTTTCCTGTTGCGGAGCACAGGCTCTGGATGCGCAGGCTCAGTGTCCATGGTTCACGGGCCCAGCTGCTCCGCAGCATGTGGGATCTTCCCGGACCGGGGCACGAACCCGCATCCCCTGCAGTGGCAGGCGGACTCCCAACCACTGCGCCACCAGGGAAGCCCTAATCTGCTTCTTAAAGGATCTATCTGAGCAGAGAAATCGGGAATAACGTATTTTACGTGTAAATGGTTATCTGTTAAGTGAATGATGGGCCTTCTAGGTAGAGGCACAAATCTGGGAAATGAATTTTGGTTTTGAGAAAATAGGTTGGTGTGATGTGAAGAATACAGTTTGGTTGGGAGACCAGAAGGGTGGGTTGGGGCTATATTAAGAAGCACTTCAAATGCTTCCAGGCATTGGGAAGGATGTGATCAGTTTTGCGTTTTATGTTGTTCTGTCCTTGGGGAGGACAGTGGGTGGCAGGAGAGGTGAGATTGCTTAGCAGGTGATTTTGACATCGTGCTGACCTGACCTCGTGACAGTTGGAATGGGGAACAGTGAGTGAAGGTAGGAGAGATTTGAGGGGCAAATTACCAGGACCCTGCATATGTGGAGTGGGGCAGAGGTAAGCTCTGGACAGCTTAGGCAAATAAGGAGAGAATAGCATAAAATGGTCAGGAGTCAGAGGCCTGGGCTCAAGTCCCAGTCCAACACCTTCCTTTCTGAGCCTCTGTGACTGCATCTGAAAAGCGGAGGTGACGTCTTCCCTTTCCTCCTTGGATAGTTCTGAAGACAAGGAGAGGCAGTGAATGTCAAGCACCTGTTCAGAGCCTGGCACGTAGAAAATGCTTGACAGTATGTTACCAGGGAGGAGTCCAGGCAGGAATTAGGTCGTAAAGGACATTTTAAGGAAGCTGTGGGCCTCCCCAGAATACACCTGTGTGCCCTTCAGATTCCCCAGAACCCTTCCGTAGAGTTGAGATTACGCCCCTCTGGGGTAGACGGGGACTCCCACCCACTACTTACCAGCCCTCTCCTCACAGACTCAGATGCCACTGCATCTTCAGATAACAGCGAGACAGAGGGGACATCCAAGTTGTCGGACACGCCAGCCCCTAAGAGGTGAGAAGAAGCCATCATTCTTCCCGGGAGGGTGGGGGGTGGGGGTTGGAGAGGGTACCTGGGCTGCCTCTTGCCTCTGACCCCCTCCCCTGTCCTTTCTCCAGGAAGAGAAGCCCTCCGCTGGGGGGTGCCCCCTCCCCCACCAGCCTCTCCCTGCCTCCTTCAACAGGGTTTCCCCTTCAGGCCTCTGGGGCCCCCTCCCCATACCTGAGCTCGGTGAGTTGGGGTCAGGGGTGGGAAATGGTCAGATGCCTGGGAATAAGGTGGGCATCATTTGGGCAGAGGGTCCAGGCCTCAGGGTGAAGCCAGCCCAGCACCAAGAACATCTGTCTGGGTGTGGCCAGCAAGCGTGCCTCGGAGGGGTGTGAGTCGGGGCTGCCTACTTCTCTCTGGTGTAGGAATGGGGGACAGACGTGACTGAGGAGAGGAGACCCCAGGACACAGTCCTGCTGCTGTCCCCTCCCGTCTGTTCTCAGGAGCCACACTCATCACCATCTCTTGTTTTTCCATTCTTCCTCCTGTTTGCATTTCTTCCTTCTACCCCCACCCCATCCACTCCATTTCCCATCTCCATCCCCTCACTCCCGCCTGCAGCTGGCTTCCCCCACCTACCCCCCATTCCCTTCTGACTACCTGGCCCTGCAGCTGCCCGAGCCCAGCCCCCTGAGGCCCAAGCGGGAGAAACGGCCCCGCCTGCCCCGGAAACTCAAGGTACCCTGTTTGGGGGACGTTAGGGAGGGGCCAGAACGGCAGGACAGCCACCTGAGGGAGGCTCAGGACGGCTGGGGGCCTGTCCGAGAATGTTGAAGGGCTGATTTGGGGCTGCTGCTGGGGACCCAGCCCAGGGTTAGGCGCTGAGGGGCGGGTCCCAGAAGTCCTGGCTCCCAGGCTCCCTGTGAGACCAGTCAGGGCAAGCCCAGACTCGGGGAGCTCAGAGTGAAGGTGGCTGGGGGCCAGGCTCATTTTCACAAGTGTTCTGTATTGCCAGGCAGCCCCCAAGGAGGGGCAGAGCTGTGGGATCTAGAATCAAGTCAAGGTTGCACCACTTAGAAACCATGTGGCCGTGACGCTCTAGGTCCCAGGTTGTGCGTCTGTAAAGTGAGTGATCAACCACGTGTAAAATCAGCAAGTGGTGTGGAGCGCCTGCTGTGTGCCAGGCACTGTGCCAGGTGCTGCACGCACAATAGCGAAGGAAGCAGCAGCCCCGGCTTTCATGGAGCCCATGTTCTCGGAGGGTAGGCAGGAAACAAGCAGGATAAATAGGTACCGACGTGGAAAGACAGATGCAGATAAAGGGCGTGGGGACACCAGAGTACGCGGGGCTGATGTTTACAGGGGGCGGCCAGAGACTTGAATGAGCAGAGCCCTGGCTCTCTGCAGTGCTTCATTCGGGAAGAACCAGCACAGGGGCCCTGGGGGTGGGCACGTGTTCGGCTTCTTCAAGGGCCAGGAAGGAGGCCGGTGTGGTCGGAGGACAGGGAGAGGGAGAGTGACCAGAGAGCAGGTCAGAACAGCACCTGAGGGGCAAGGCTGTGGACGGCCTCGGAGGTGTTGGGAAGTTTTTGGCTGGTACTGTGAGTGAAACGGGAGCCACTGGAGAAGGTGGGGCAGAGGGGCGTCTGATCTGATTGACGTGTTAAGAAAATTGCTTGGCACTGCAGTGAATAGGCTGGTGGGTGGGGGGTCAGGATGGAAGTGGGGATATCAGTGAGGAGGCTCCTGCGGTCAACCAGGCAGCAGGGGGAAGGGTGAAAAGTGGGTGATGGGTCTCTTTCAAAGAATGAGCCCCAGGAAGAGCCGTGTGGGCTGTGAGAGAGAGGGGCGTTGAGGGTGACTCCAGGGGTTTGGGCCTGAGCAGCCAAAGAAGTGGCCCTTTTCTGAGTCGGGGAGGACTGTGGGAGGAGCAGGTTTGGGAAGGAAGGTGAGTTTGGCTTTGGATGTCTTGAGATGCTGTCTGGAAATGTCAACGAGACAACTGGGTAACTGGGTAACGTGAGCCTGGCCCGCACGGGGGCCGTATTTGGAAGTCACGGGCAGGGAGGTGGATGGCGCGGAGAAGAGGTCTCTGCACCCTGAGCCCTGGGAGAGATGAGGACACGGAAGGCACAGTGCCCTTCCAGCTGAGTCAAAGTGAAATAAGGACCGGGCTGGCAGCTCTCAAGTTGGGTGGACTGGAGACTGGAGACTCTGGAGCCAGAGGTGGAACGGGAGCCCTGCTTGTGGTGGTTAGGAGTGTGGGTTCTGGAGTTCTAACCCCAGCTCTGCCACTTCCTCCCGTGTGACCTTGGCCCTTGAGCCTGGAAGATGAGTAGATAATGGGTGACGATACTGCTCAGCTCCTGCTTCACGCTGCTTGGCAGGCGTTCTGCTTCCTGGGCTGGGCGGACTGGTGGAGAAGGCACGGGCCAGAGAAACCTGGAGCAGAGCGTGGAGGCGTGGCGTGGTGTGCGCTTGGCAGTTCAGGGCTCTGAAGTGCTGGCTCCTGACCCAGAGGCGTGTCAGTGAGCTACGTTCGGGGCAGGCAGGGGAAAAGGGCCCAAACCAACGGCGGTGCATGGGGGAGGGGAAAAATCAGGGACGGCCTCAAAGAACAGGTGACACTTGAGCCCAGGGTGAGATTTGGATATTCAGGCTGAGGCGGTTGTGGAAGGAAGGCGGGGACGTGGCAAAAGTGGTGTTTGGGCTGGAGCCGGAGGGGTGAGAGCGAACAGCGTAGGAAGGATAGGGTGGGTCAGGTCATAGAAGGCTGGGTGTCCTATGAGGAGAGTGGGGGTCCCTGAAGTTTCTGGGTGTGGTGGTGTGAGGAGAGGGGAGGGGACGCTGTGAAGACTGAAGCAGGTCAGTCAGGAGCCTGGGCCTCACCCGTTTTAGCTGGGTTTCCTCCACGCACTCGCCGTGCGACTTGGGCGCGTCATTTAACTCTCAGAGCCTCCGCTTGCTCCTCTGTTCGGTGGTGTCGTTGTGAGGATAAAATGAGTTAAGAGAGAGAAAACACTTAGCCCAGTGCCTTGTCCCTAGTATGCCACAGATAAGCATTCACTACCTTGGGTCACGCTGAGGAGGCCATGAAGTCAGTCCAAGCAGGGGTAGGACATGGGGCCTCGGGTAGGTAATCAAGAGGTGGTGGCCAGAGGAGGGGGACAGTCATGCCACCGGCCTTTTCAGTCGTGCGTGTGCATCTGCTCCCGTGTGTGCACATGAGTGCCTGGTACTGGGTGCAAGGGTGCTGTTCAGAGCTGGGCTTCCTGTCTGTCATCCATCCTGGCAGACCCCAGTCGCCCGAGGTACAAACCCACTCTGGCTCTCCATGCCACCCTAGGAACAGCGGCGATGAGGGGGCCGCCTTGAGAAGCAGAGAGTAGGCCACAGGGGCCCGAATGTGTTAAGGCAATCAGAAGGGCCACTGTGAAGACTACTGCCATCCCCGCACCCCGGGGCCAGACTGGACACTGCCTGGTGGGGACCTGGCAGGCCTGTGCCTTCAAACCTCCATTTCCAAGCCTCCGTTTCCTCCTCTGGCTGATGACCTCTCCTCCCTTCCAGGGTGGTCGGAATAGTGAGAGATCATTAATGGAAGTCACCTGGCACATAGTAGGTGCTCAGTTTGTGCCTACAGGCAAAGCAGGAGGCCCACAGATCTCTGGGAAGGATTCAGAAGGACCTGGCAGGGGTGGGGCTGGAGGGTTGGGCAGGACAGAGGCCACTTCCCAGCCTCAGAGCACAAAGCAGGACCTTTGACAAATAGCAAAGGACAGTCCAGGTGGAAGGACTGGCCTGTTCTCAGGCACTGCCTATCCTGAGGGCAGCGAGGAGCCGGAGGCCCCCGAGTACAGGAGTGACGCGCTCAGGTCTGTGTTCTAGAGAGCTTACTCTGGCTGCAGTGCGGAGGAGGAGCTGGATCTGGGAGAGGCTGAAGGCAGGGAGTCCAGGTGAGCTGAGAGGAGGGCCTGGCCTAGGCCGGTGGCTCTGGGGATCCCAAAGAGGGGCCCCTCCCAGACACAAGAGGTAGAAGCCTCACACGGCCGGGGGTGAAGACCTTTGACACCCTCCACCAAACCAGTGAGCCCCTCAGGAGGAGGAGGGAGAGGAGGCCAGTGTGGCAGGTGGTACTGGAGGTGCCCAGAGGCGGGCAGGCAGGCACTCCAGGCTGGCTCTGGCTCTGGCTGCTATCCCAGGGGCAGCCACAGTGCCTGACTGGCAAGGGCAGGGCCCGGCCTTTCCCTCCTGGTTTCCCATGAGACTCCCTCCACCACCACCCTCATCAGCACTCCCATCACCAAGCCTCACCCCCACGCACTTGCTGGTGTGAGACTGCAGGGCTGAGGTGGGGCAGGCTCCCTGATTCCAGCCGTGGCTGGCCTGGCTGTGTCCACTACCCCTTGAATGAGAGCCTTTGCCCCCTTCCCCATCCCCTGGAACTGTCTTAAGGGGCAGTGCCAGCCTCCTGGAGGTCCCAGTGCCTCCCTGATAGGCCCTCCCTGTGTTTCTCCCCACTGCTGCAGATGGCGGTAGGACCCCCCGACTGCCCCGTGGGAGGGCCGCTGACCTTCCCAGGCCGGGGTTCTGGGGCCGGCGTGGGGGCAGCCCTGGCCCCACTGCCCCCACCCAAGATGCCTCCCCCTACGATCCTGAGCGCCGTCCCTCGGCAGATGTTCAGCGATGCAGGCAGCGGGGACGACGCCCTGGACGGGGATGATGACCTGGTGATCGACATCCCGGAGTGAACCCCTCTGCCTGACCCCCTGCCCAGCGCCCTCTGTGTCAGCACACATGAGCCCCCAGCTTCCGCAGAGACGTTTATTGACGCCCGGTTGCCATGCTGTGGCCACTGACACAATCAGAAAAGGCGTAAACATGCATGAATGTCCCCCAGAAGGTGGGCCCTCTCCAGGGAGGGCAGGGGCCCTGCCTTCACATCCCAGCCCAATCCAGGAGACAGTTACTTAAATGAGTGGGCCAGGAGCACCTGCCACCTCTCAGAGAGGCAGAGACCCTGCGGTGGCCCCCCCACTTAAAAGGGCAGCTGTACAGGGCTCGGTGGTGGTGGTTTTTTTAATGAAGATTCTGCATTAAAGGAGTGCCTCTTTTTGTGTGTGTCATTTTCATTTTTGGAAACCTCCTCCTCCAAACCCCCCCTAATCCGACCTCCTCCCTGGAGGGGAGGGGGCCGGGCAGCCTGGAGAGGCAGGAGAGAGGAGCAGCAGCCGGGTCCTTGGGACAGGGGCACTGTGGGATCCCCCCTGCAGGTGTGCTCTGTGGATGGGTGGTTTGCATATTTGTCTGTTGTAGCGAGTCAGGCAGGAGGAAGTTTGCATATGTGAATATAGATCTCCACAGTCCCTCACAAGAAGACAGACCCACGGTCACGGAGACACGAAACAAGACAAGTAGTGCGGGGTGGGGCCTCCACCCCGTGTAAACGTGCAACACACTCGTGCGAAGGCTGCCTACTGGGCCCAGCCCTGAGGGCCCTGTGCTGGGCGGCTGCTGTCCTGCTCAGGCTGAGGGCAGGGCTCCGGCTGCCGGGGGCAACTGGCTGGTCAAGGTGTGCCAGCGCTCCAGAGCTGCGTCCGGCTGCTGCAGACAGTCGCTCCAGTGCTTCCGGGCCTCTCTCCGGGCTCCTGGCCCCAGGGCCACGCCACCTGGGAGCAGTAGAGGCAGGCAAGATCAGGGCCGGGCTCACTGCCGGGCTGCCCTCCATCAGCACCACCCAGCAGGCTCCTCCCTCACCGATGAAGTCGTTGGATTTGCCAATGTCATAGTCCCAGACTGTGACTTCCAGAGTCTTGCTGGCCAGAGTGGAGAGCTCCATCTCGTAGAAGAACTCCTGGGACAGGGCAAGCGACACCTTCCATGAAGCGCTGCCCCCACTCCCAGCCCCAGCCCCGCTCGATTTCTGGCCTCTGCCCCATTTACCTCATTAAATTCCGGGTTTAGAGTCTTCTTCTTCACACATGTTTTGTGCTTGGATTTCTTATCCACGTCTGGCCTCAGGTACCTGCCGAGGGGGAGGAGGGACAGGGGTGGGGCAGCAGGTCAGTCAGGGACAGACCAGGCCCAGAAGAGGACAGGGCTGGTGGCAAGTCCCTGGGGAGGGGAGGGTGGGCCTCGGGGCAGGGCGAGGGCTCACGTCTTGACGTAGGGGTCAGAGTAGCCGTTGACGTCCATGGCAGCCAGGTGGGCGCAGCGCACGATGCCCACCAGCAGCCCACGGCGCCGAGAACTATAGCTGAGGCTCAGCAGGATGCGCCCGCGCTCTTCCAGCAGCCCAGGCCCCTGCTCCACCTGCTCCAGCTGCCAGCAGACGCGGGCGTCAGCCGGCACCCTCACCACCTCCCGCCCAGATGTGGTCCCTGTGGGTGGCTCACCTCCTTCAGGTAACAGGAGATGCCCCTCAGCGCCACAGACATGGAAGACGGTGAAGCCAGCTGAGGGGGCAAAGAGAAAGTTCTGGAAACCTGATCTCCCCAGGGCCCCCTTCCCGTGGTACCCCGCAGCCTGGCACAGACCGGGACCTGGCGCTCAAGGCAGATGTTAAAATGCTTCTTCTGTGAAGGCTTGAGGCGGCGGAGGGGTACACGGATCTCCCCGATGAACTCGTTGTGGCTCAGCTTGTCTTCATCACAGACGGAGATCCTGGTAGGGAACTGCAGGGTCAAGGCCCCCTGGGGTACTTGAGCCCCACTCCAGTTTGGGAGAAAGGTCCTCCGACTGAACTCTGAACACTCGAGGCTGGTCCCAGCTCTGCCCTAAATACTCTACACCTCACTTGTAAAATGGGCTGTCTCAGGGCTGTGTGGGGAGCACCGGGCCTGGAGCTGGGGGAGGATGTTTTGATTTGCCCTGTTCCTCTGCGCCTCCCTTTCCAGCTGCCCAGGCTGTCCCCGGCCCATCAGGACCTGCTCGGCTCCTTGAGGAAGCCCTCACAAATCTTGGGAACGCGACCACATACACACACACACACACACACACACACACACACACACACAGCCTCCATTCAGGGCCTGGGGACAGGATCCAACTGAACATGCACAGGGTGTGCACTGGTGGATGTGGGTCACGGGTCCAGGATGTAAGAGCTAGAAGGGCCTGAAGGAGCCTTGAGCAGTTGGACCAGGAGCGCATACCTCCCCCTAGAGCCCCTGTCCTTTCCTGTGTGGAGCAGGGAGCCAGCCTGGGAGAGGCTCATGAACCCAGCAAGTAAGAGATTATTGCTTTTACTTCCATCCGTCTCGGTCTGCAGCCCCTTTCCCTGCCTTCTGCTGTGACACTCTCAAGCAGCTGTGTCATGCAGAGGTGTTCAATTCCCAGCTCCGCCACCTAGCAACCACATGACCTTGAGCAAGTCACTTAACCTCCCTAAGCCTCATTCCCATTTCTGTCGCTTGAGACTTCACTCCTTAGAGATGTTAGGGAGACAAGGGCAGCAGAATGGGCAGACCTCTGCTGCATAGGTCTGACTTAAGTCAGGGGCTCTGAGAAGGGGTCTCAGTGAGCAGGGAAAGATTGCAGGAGGAGGCAGAGCCTCAAATGATGAGTGGGATTTAGGCCGGCAGAGAGAGGAAGCAGGAAGAGACACGACAGGCAAAGGTCAGGAGATAGGAACCCGACCAGTCGCAAGAGGGCGGTCCTCTGTTGGAGGAGCAGTAGGAGCTATTTGGAGGGCAGGAACCCAGGGGAACATTCTGGCCTGCTCCCGAAGGGGACAGGGAGCCACTGATGGTTCTAGAGCATCCGAGGGCTTAATGGGAGGTGGGTCGACCAACCAAAGAAGGTTCCAATGACAGTTGTCCCCAAGGAGGTGCTGAGCTGGACTCGTTGGTAACCGGGAGGACAGACCCCTCACCTGAGCACCTTGTGGGTGATGTCAGCATCTGTGATTCCGCTGTACGTCAGGTCCTCATTCCACACGGGATTCAGCGTGTTCCTCTGAGTCTTAGTTTTTAGCTTATTGGCCTTAGGTGTGGGGACGAAGGGTTCACAGTACGTGTCCCCCAGACCCACAGAGGCTGGAGGCAGACGAAGGTTGGGGGCAGACCCACAAGCTGGGTCAGGCTGGGGGGTGAGGGCAGGGGGAGGCCGTTACCTTGCAGGCTCCAGGCAGCAGGTGCAGCTTGACGTAGGGGTCGGCCAGGCCATTGAAATCCATGGGCTTGAGGCCCTGGGGAGGAGGAGAGGGAAGAGGGCTGTGAGCTCCCAGCCTGCCCACCCTCCCTCCCTCTCTCTGCAGTGTGGACCCTTGGGGGCGGGAGAGCCAAGATGGGTGCTGGGAGAGGAGCAGGAGTCAGGCCTGGGGAAGGGAAAGGAGGATGGAAACGCACCCCTCTCAGGGTAGGAGGCAAACAGGGCCAGGGCTCTCGGGGGGCAGGGAGTACCCACCTTGGCCCTGAGGATACTACAGTGCAGAGTGCAGGAAGCCTGGTCGTAGAGAAGGTCAAACTCCAGCGTGCCCAGGGAGGCTGGAGAAGAGGGAAGAGGTAACCTGAGTCCGTGCGTAAAGACAGGTGTGTGTGAGAGACAGGTGGGCAGGCCTGCTACGTGTGCCAGCTGTGAAGGTTTGTGCGTGTCTGTGCCTGTCAGCCTGCTTGTGTGTGCACGTCTGGGTCCCTGGCTGGGCTGCAACTGGTGCTCTGTGGGTGGTTGAGTGTCTCAGCAGAAATATTGAACATTGAGCCTAGCTGAACCTGTCATCTCCACTCTGACTGCAGCTGTGGTGGCGGTGCCCGCCGCCTCCCCACCCCCAGCAGGGCCCCATCCCCTTCCCACAAGCCTGGAGGCCCCCATTAGCACCCTGGGCCCTTCAAGCCCGCAGACTCACTGGTATCATCCGAGTCATAGCTGTCCACCTCAGCTCCATCCTCGGGCGTGGTGGCCCCAAGGAGGGCTGCAGGGGGTGCCAGGGCCAGGGGGCCCAGATGAGCAGGGGCCTCTCCGAAGCCCCCGCCACCCCCTTCAGGTCCTGGTCCCCGGCGGGGGAAGTAGTCAGAGATCTGGCGGATGGGCCGGATGGGCCCCGGGCACACGTTGATGGCCATGTGCTCCTGGATGTTGATGGTCATGCGGTCGCCCCTGCGGCCCCTCATGCAGCACCCCTGGCTGGGGGAGGGAGGTTCGAGAGAGCTTGAGCCCCGGGCTGACTTCTCAAACCTACCCGTCTGCTGGCTGAGGGCCAGGCGGCACCCGCCAGGGTCTGTGGGCCCTCACTGGCCTCCCTTCCTAGGTGCTGAGGGAGAGGGCAGCCTGTGCCCGCTGACGGGCAGGCAGAAGGCCTGGGCCCTCCAGACCCCAAGCTGTGCTCCACGGGGCTGGGCTGCCAGCCCACTCCCCCCAGATAGGTCCTGGCTCCACCTCAGCCTTGCCCACTTTCCTCTAGATTGTCCCTCTGTCCTCTTCCCAGCGCCAGCCCCTCATTCTGGGCTTCTGTCTGCCCTGGGCCCTGCCTACCCCTGAAGCTGCCCCCTAGGCCCCCTCCTCTGTCTTTCTGAGGCTCTGACTATCCTTCTGCACCAGGCGCCTGTCTGGTCTGGGGGTCACCCACCTCTTAGGTTTTCACTTCCCACTGTCCCTTCGTTCAGCCCCAGATCTGCCCGCCTGCCTGGGCCCCCATCCGCTGCCATCCAAGGTGAGGACCCCTGCCTCAGATGCCTCCTCCTGAAACTGGCTCTCCAGAGGAGCCAGAAATTACAGCCTCCGGGAAGCTAAACACCCCCAGGGGCACACACAGGCTAACACACACTCACCCTCACCCTCTCGCCCCCGGCAGCCCAGCCCCCTGCACCTGTCTCTGCGCCTCCAACAGGTGCCCAAGCACTGGGGGGCCAGCGGGTGCGAGCTGGGCGGTGGCAGCCGGCGATTCCCAGGGCGGCCGGCGAGAAGAGCGCCGAGTCCGGCAGTCTGAGCCGAGAGGGAGGGAGAGCAGGAGAAAGTGCGGGGAGGAGGGGGTGAGCGAGGTGGAGGCGAGGATGCAGCCGGCGCAGGCGGCGCGGGGCGGGGAGGGGCGGACGGAGGCTGGGGAGGGGGCGGGACTCTCCCGCCGGCGCCCGCCCGGGCACACTTAGGAGCGCACACGGGTGCACACACATTCACGG